GGGCTTAGGGTTTCGGCTTTGGGGTTTAGGGTTTCGGGTTTAGGGTTCCAACGCATCAGCGGGATTCCGAATGGCCACCCTCAACGCTCCAAGTGTGCACACCCCAGTTTTTTTCCGTATGGCCATGGTCCAAGAGTCAACGAACCCCCGAAACCTAAACCCTCAACCCTCAACCCTAAACCCTAAACTCTCCCTCTGAATACCGACAGTTTCCTTGCCAGAACCCGCATGATCGAATGTGCAGTTCTGTGAAGAAAGAACCGGCAGATCCCGGAAAAAGTCTCGAAGCCCCAAGCCCCAAGCCCTAAACCCTAAACCCCGAAACCCTCAACCCTAAACCCTCAACCCACAAAACCCCTAAACCCTAAACCCCTCAACCCTAAACCTAAACCCTAAAGCCCCAAATGCTAAATCCTCCCTGCCCGGGCACGAGCTTCAGATTCGACAGCTCCGCTCCGAACTCAGACTGCACTTCCAAAGGCGCAGACAGCCTTGGCAGGATGGAATTCCCAGCACCAGAGGATGGAACCCGAGGGTTCTCAGGCCAAGCTACTCTAGGGTTTAGGGTTTAGGGTTTAGGGTTTAGGGTCTAGGGTCTAGGGTTTAGGGTTTAGGGTTTAGGGTTTAGGGTCTAGGGTATACTATACTATACTCTACTCTACTCTACCATAAGATATTATCATCTACTATAACATAGTACAATATACCGTGATATGCTATAATATACTATGATATACTGTCGGATGCTATAACACAAATATTTGCACAAAAACTATGATTATATTATTATGGTCTAGACTTTTCAAGCTGGTCGATGCCCTTATCCTAGTCTTCGTGGCGGCCACCGTGGAACCGATTTGCAATCACTCCAACGAGGCTCGATTCAGCGAGCTTGCTAATGTGCCTTCTGCTGCCTCGTCGTTTTCTTGCCACTGCCAACGTAGGGGTTTAGGGTTTAAAGTTTAGGGCTTAGGGTTCAGAGTGTACAACGTCGTGGAAGGCACTAAATCGCACACTGTCATACTCTGAGAACGAAAGTGCATGGACTCCTTTCAAAGCTCTGAGCAACCAGACGTAGCTTCAAATCTCTGGGTAGCACATGAAGTATATTATGGTATACTATGGTATCCTTAAAGTACCTGCTCATATTTTACAAAATATTATAGTATATATTCTAGCACTTTATAGTATATTTTAGAATATCACGCATCCTTCGCTACGCTGGCGAGAACCTGAACATAGGCCCAAAAGCACTGTCGGAAGCTAGAAGCCTGCAAGCCCAAAAAAAGACACTGCAACGGAAACCAGTGGAAACTGCCAGAACCGAGTCAAGTGTTGTGAAAACGGAATTAATATGATCTCTACTGAACTATGAACAGCCTTAGTATGGAGGATCGCCAAACCTCGGATTGGAGAATAAAGATCTGCGCTTGAAACAAAAATCATACCGGAATACCACTGCTTATCCACGGAGCCTATCGCTCTCAACCCTGCGAAACCCTGAAGGCGCAAGACCGTCCCAGAAAGAAGCGTTCAGAAAGAGAACAAACCCTGAACCCTAAACCCTAAACCCTAAGACAGGCCCAGGTGGCTGCAAGGTTGTCGCACCCTCGCCCAGAAGGCGCACGCGCGAGCGCAATCGCAGCCCTTGTGCCAAGTGGTAGGTGCCTAAGTCCGTCTTGGCAATCTTGGAGTTAATTAAGGCTTAAAGACTTTGGGTTTAGGGCTTAGGGTTTAGGGTTTAGGGTTCAGGGGTTCAGGATCTAGGGCTTCGAGTATATGACATGCAACCTCCATCTATGGCACCCGAGATACTCGGGTCACTCCAGACCGAACAGAACTCCCGAAATCGTAAGGGTTTAGGGTTTAGGGTTTTAGGCTTTGCTTCGGGCTAGGGGGTCTCTGGCTGCGGGGCCCTGCAAAGCAAGCTTCTGTAGCCCCCCAAGGTCGCAAGGTGAGCTTTCGAAATGCTGGCCACGGTCTGTGTGGGTTTAGGGTTTAGGGTTTAGGGCCAAGAAATCAGTGTAGAAGGCGAGCTCTCAAAGGTTGGATCCGAGCCGCGGACCCTAAACCGACTTGTTTCTTGGGTCCTAGGGGCTACATCAGGGCCCTAATGTAGGGGCTTTAGTATTTAGAATAGGGTTTTGGGGGTATATCATACTAGAATTATAGAAACGAAACCCCAACATAGTACAGGCAACTACTAAGGCCCCCACACTAAAAGAAGCCAGTTCCCCCCAAAACCCGAGGGCGTCGGATTTCCGGGTTTGGGGCTTTGTCTCTGCGGGCCCCTTTTCGGGCTTAGGGTTTAGGACAGGTTTAGGGTCGAGGACCCTCAGGGTTGAGGGTTGAGGGCTTAGGAATTAGGGCTTAGGGCTTAGGGTCGGCGACCCCTAGATGATTGGGGTGTTGCCAAGAGCTCAAAACATCGGTTCGGAAGCCTCGAAACCGATCTAGAAAATAACCCCCTCTCTTTCTTACCCTTGTTGAAACGAATGTGGGCTTCCCTAGACCCTAAACCCTAAACCCTAAACCCAAGCCCCGAAAGGAATTGAATTTTCAGACCCTTTGGGAGCGGGTCTTGGCTTGTGGCTTCTTTCTCCTGCGCTGGGTGAGTTTCTACATCCCGAGGTTTCCAAACAGGCTCAACTCCCCGACATCCGACAAAACCCAGAGTCTAGGCCTTTATGCTAGGGTTTAGGGTTTAGGGTATAGGGTTTAAGTAGATAATACAGTCTAGAAACCCCTTTGGGTTCAAGCTGAAGTCCGCAGTCGTTAGTGCGCAAGAGATGCCAGTTGCGATGATGACTTCTGCCGGAGACATGTCCAGGGCTTCTTCAATGCTGGCGGCATCGTGGGGTACAAGAACCTTTGTGTGCAGAATCCATCCCGATCCCCTAAGTGCCTTTTCCGAGGCTTCATCTCCCGTAAGGCCCCGAATCCAAAACCTTAACCCTTAACGCTAGACGGCGAGGGCATCTAGGCACAGGTTTCCGCCCCAACCCTTGGCCCCTGAAAAATGATACATAAGATAAGCTGGGTTGACTATACAAGAACCATGTTGCTGATTGTTGGGAGCCTTATGCAAAATACAAGGTTCGGAACCCCAGGACGGAGCACTCAGGATGCAGACTTTACGACGGTGGTGTCTTCCGGAAAGCCACCGGTAACTGACGGTGCAAGAACTGGAATCTTACATAAAATCTGAGTTATTGGATTCTGCCTGTAAGGACCCCCATAGCTTCAGAAACCCCGATTTCTTAGGGATAGCCTCGCACTCTGCTTCTCCAGCGGAACATCAAAATGTAGGAACCTGATCGAAAAACCCTGGTCCTAAAACCCCAAGATATTGGGATCCATAAAAAGAACCCTAAGAAAGACCCAAGGCTTCTTCATGCGTTTCCTACATTATCTTGGAGCCTCAGCTCCCGTTACAGCATCACCAGAGCACTCCGAAGTCCTTCAAGTCAGTGCTTTTCGAGGCTTGGAATGTGGTTTTATAGGGGCCTTACAAGGATAGGCCATCCCTCGCCTCTTCCCTTGTGTGGGCGAGACGGAGGATGCAATGGAGGCGATAGCGGACGGGAGACACCGGAAGTTGAAGACTCGAATGTTGAGCAAAAGCTACGGACGACGTGTTGACTGCTCGCGTGTTTCAACGCTACGTCAGAAGCAAACAACACATGTCGAGCACGCACCCTGCTCGATGCCGTTTTCATCTGCCGGTCAGGTGTAATTAAGTCGGTCGGCAGCCGTGGCCTCGGGGAGCGATGCAGTACGATGAAACGGAGGGTGTTGGACCTGTTTACTCTGGGGTTGAGACCCGTAGCTAGACCTGGCCGGACTGAAGGTGCATCCGCAATTCGTGTCTGGAAGCCAGACGACCTGGGTTCGTTGATTTCAATTTATTCAAACCTGTCCCGGGACAGGCAGCAACAGACCCCGGACCTGCACGACGAGCTCAACGGCTCGCGAATGCGACACGCCTCTTGGGTTGACGCGCTTCTTGCCGATCGATCGCGAAGCCGTCGAGAACTTGCACACAACGATGAAATACGACTTGAATTCCCGAATTTTCTTAAGGAAGAGTGTTTTTACGACTAGTGTGTCGGTTATAAATTCTTGCATCTGTCTATGTAACATCCCACAAGCATTGCAGCAGAAGTTATTTGCGACCCGTGCGACCGCGCACGTTGCCGCAGAATTGCGTCCTGTGTCGTGCGAAAGACCAGAAAAATAAGAAAAACAGCGTTTAGGAACGAAGCCCTAAAAGGCGGAGCTGGTTTAGGGCGGGAGCCGCCCGAGTAGCGGTGGGAAGACAAGCTTGATGTGGCCGAGCCAAGACCCCAGTTTCTGTGCCTCCATGCGCACTCCGGGGCCGAGAGACTCGCTTCGAATTGATGCGCCCACCCGGCTTGCCTTCTACTGCTGTGCCTTGCGCAAACCCTAAACCCCTAAACCCTAAAACATAACCCTAAACCCTAAACCCCTAAAGCCTAAATGGTAACCCTAAACCCCCTGAACCCTAAACTCTAAGCCCGAAACCCAAACCCCTAAAACCCTAAACCCGAAACTCAAAGCCCTCTCCGCCTTTTTCGCTGCCCGGGAGCAGGAGCCTCCCCGAGGAAACTGAGAATCCGCTGCCTTGCCGGCATTGGGGTTTAGGGTTTAGGTTTAGGGGTTTAGGTTTAGGGTTTAGGGCTTGGGGTTTAGGGTTTAGGTTTGGGTTTTGGGATTTGGGGTTTGGGGTTTAGGGTTTGGGGTTTAGGGTTTAGGTTTAGGGTTTAGGGTTTAGGGTTTAGGGCTTGGGATTTAAGGTTCGGGGTTCAGGGTTTAGGGCTCACTGGTGTGTGGTTTAGGCTGTAGGCTTTAGGGCTCACTGGTGTGGAGCCGAGGTATAAGGCTTCCGACGTGGCGTTCGTGCTATGGATCAGGGGAATGGAAGGGTTTAGGGTTTAGGGTTTAGGGTACTAGATGGGTAGTTCTCTAATTTAGGGTCCCCCTTTAGGTCCCCAATATAGTACGGCACCCTTATAACAAGGATCCCAAAAAGGACCCGAATTTAGAGAGCTACCCAGATGGCTTATTTAGCCTTCTATATGTATGCGGTTTGTTACACGCGTGCTTGTATGACTACTTGTTCATGATCTCGTGTCTAATTTTAGTGCACATAATTTTAGACGGAGAAATGAATAGAAAAATTGCCTACCCTACGCTCAAGGACGACTTTTAAGGTTTAGGGTTTAGGGGTTTAGGGGTTTAGGGTTTAGGGTTCAGCTTAGGGGTTTAGGGTTTAGGGTTAAGGCTGTGCACTTCCTAAGGGGCTTACGGTTTGGGGTTTTGGGCTCTTTAAGGGGAAGAAGCTCCAGCCGGAAGAGCCTAGGGGCTAGTGTAAAGGCTGGGGCTTAAGGTTTGGCTTCTACGATTCGAGCCCAAGCCCAAAATCCCAAAACCTGGAATCCCAGATACCAGGTCCCAGCTTAAATTGCGGCCGCACGTCAACTCAAACCCTAAACCCCAAACCCTCAACCCTAAACCCTAAACGCTAAAAACCCCCAAACTCCAAACTCCCTGCCACAGGGGCTTGGAAGCAAGGCAGAGGCCACGCAGGGCCCGCAGCCAGTGGAGCTTCATCCTCCTCCTGCACGAAGGAAGGTCTAGGCTTTAGGCTTTAGGCTTTAGGGTTTAGGGTTTAGGGTTTAGGGTTTAGGGTTTAGGGTGTAGGCTTTAGGGTTTAGGGTTTGGGAGTTCTTGATCTTTAGGGTTTAGAGTTTAGGGTTTAGGGTCTAGGCTTCAGGGTTTAGGGTTTAGGGTCTGGGCTTCAGGGTTTACGGTTTGGGAGTACTTGATTTGATGTTTAGGGTTTAGAGTTTAGGGTTTAGGACTTAGGGGTTTAGGGTTTAGGGTTTAGGGGTTCAGGTGTTTAGGGTTTAGGGTTTAGGGGTTTGGGGTTTAGGGTTTAGGGTATCTCAGGAGGGCATTGAGAAATACGAGTGAACTCAGGAGGTATTCGTTCCGAATGTACCATGCATGCTCGAACAGAAGCTTGCTGCTGTTCAACTGGATCCTTGCAAAACGGACCTTGCAACCTCTCCGTCCACAGGTACAACTATTCGCACGACTCCTATCAAGCCTTTCTACTCTTGATTCTTGGTGCAAGCTCAATCATCTCTTATTGCTGCGCATTTGATGCAACGATTGCTCTTGCCGTGAATGATGTTACATCAAAATGAAAGCAGGACTAGAAATAGTTGTAACAATTATCAGTTATTGTTTCTATGTCTGTGGCATTGTGTTGGATATGCTTTTCTTGATCTACGCGTAGGACAAGCTTGCACCACGGACGCCTTGGCACTGGGGAGGCAGCTGCACGGCCAGCCAACTCCATGTCGCAGGCATCACAAACCTTCCAGCGGAGTAATTTAGGGGCCGTAATTTTTTAGAATAGGATTTGGGATACATAATCGTACCACTTTATCAGGAAGATACCCTAAACCCTAAACCCTAAACCCTAAACCGATTAAGGAAGAGTATTGGTAACTATACCTCGCTGTTGCTTAGCATGGGGCACTCCGGTGCCTTGGGCTTGGAAGCAGACTTCATGGGACTTCCCTCTCGAAGCCTTCCCGTTTGAGGTGGTAATGTTGCGTTGTCAATTTGGGGAACATGGGGTTGGGGTTTAGGGTTTAGGGTTTGGGGCTTAGGGCTTAGGGGGTTCAGGGCAGGGTGACTACAACGCCTACCTGAACATTGCAAACTTCTGGTTTGGGCTTAGAATTCAGCGTGTAGGGTTGAGGGGGCCGACCTTCATGACGTGCCCCTGCCACAGAGCGCCGTTGAGCGCCAGTGCGCGCAACCTTCGGCTACTTGGAAGCTCTGATGAAACCCAGTTTGTTAGAGCTTTGGCTTTGGGGTTGGGAAATTTTGGACCGCAAACCTACATCGCAACGTCGACTTCACCCTCATCAACCCCCGGACCCAGGAAAACCAAACGAGCGAATCCGGCTGTGCGACTTAAGCTACGGTGATCGCTCAGAAGCCTACGCAAGCAAGCATGGTTAAGACACAGACTGCGACACAATGCTCTATCGGAAAATCCAGGGTACTACAAGTTACTACACCTCTACCCGGACGTTTGATATCGGACTTGCATCTCAACGAGTGGCTCCTTTCCCTGGTAAGCACACTTTCTGAACAACCTTCTCCTCCTTGTCTTTCCCGACCAATGTGAATTCGCAGTAGGCTGCCCAAACTATCTCAGATCACCCTTCAAACAGGTCAAGGCGCTGCGGGCACTGCAGTGTGCAAAGGCCTACTGTGGCATTCACCCTTAGAAAGAAAACAACCCCGTACTTACACCTCTGCTCTGACTGCTGCAGCCGCATCTGCCCACTCAAGCTCAACGTGTGGTGTAGGCTCAGACATTGGAGTTTCACAGAGTGCACCCCTCAAAAATGGTGGACATCGAACCCACAGGAGGGAGCCTCAATTCCGAAATTCCCACATGATGATGTTCTCTGAAACCTTCGCATGAAGATCGCTAACTTTTGATCTTCCGTAAGTTGGATGGCTCAAATTTTCGGCTCGGCGCCTGCTGCACCATCCCAAAATATCCCCAAAACTAGAACCCTTCAGACCACTAAAGGCCGTAAAAGTCCTAAAACCTCGAAGCCCTAAACCCTAACGTAGGCCTAATAATTAGAAGAGGGTGTTGGGGTATATTTTCCTCTTTACTTATAATAAAGAACCCCCAAAAATAGTACTGGCAATTAATTATTTAGGCCCCATATCAAACCCTCGCGCTCAACTTGTCCGGAGCCTGCTCTCTGCATCGCTTAGCTCCACATAGTGACCACGGCCTTCGCGAGACGTAACTGAGGGATCCCCAAAGCTTACCAAAGCGGTTTAGGGTTTAGGGTTTAAGGGTTTAGGGTTTAGGGTTTTCTTCATAAAAGAACATTTGGTCTTCATAACTAGAAGGGGGTTTTGGGAGCCCCCAAAATAGTCTAGGTAACTATTTAGGCCCCTACATTAAGGGGTGTCCGCTATAAGTCCACCTCCCAACATCAATATTGTTGAGTTTCAGGGGTTTGGAAGTCGATGGCTGAGCTAAGGCGGCTCAGGCCGATTACTGCAAGGGTTGGAGGCTTTTGGGTTAAACAATCCCAAACCCGCTGAAATTTCATGGCGGCCGTAATCAACCCTAAACCCTAAACCCCTAAACCCTCCACCCTAAACCCTAAACCCAAAGCTGAGCTGGTCGGGGCGAGTTGTACTCCTCGGTGTCCGAGACTCCAGCGACTTCCGTTGTGGGCTGAGGGTTTCGGGTTTAGGGGTTAGTGTTTAGGGCTTTAGGGGTTTAGGGGTTTAGGGTTTAGGGGTTTAGGGTTTAGGGTTTAGGGGTGTAGGGTTTAGGGTTGCGGGCTTTGTGTGGAACCCCTGACTGATAACTCCGCCTTTGCTTAGCGACCGTCATCCTAGGATACCGTATGCACCATAATCCTGATCCAAGCAGGACAGAGTTGGTTTAACCAAGAGTTCACAGAATATAGTACCCTAAAGAGTAGGATCCTTGTTACAAGGACCCCAACCCTAAACCCTAAACTCTACACCCTAAACCCTACACCCTAAACCCTACACCCTAAACCCTAACCCCTAAGCCCCTCATTTTCGGAAACTCCCACATGAATTTTGGAGGTCTTCGGGTCCCGGCTCCGGTTCGAAGTTTAGGGCCCAAGGCTGAAACTCCGAGGATCAAGATTGAAGACTCCGAGGTTTCCAGAGGAAGTACCAGGTTTAGGGTTTAGGGTTTAGGGGTTTAGGGTTTAGGGTTTAGGGATTAGGGTTTGGAGTTTAGGGTTTAGGGAGTAGGGTTTAGAGATGTTCAGAGTTTAGGGTTTGTGATATTGTAGCCAAGGAAACCTCCCAAAAGGGATACTTGGCAGAGGGCCCTGAATCCTGAAGAGGCCCAAACCATGACATTTTATCTGCCAGCAAACCTGACATAGGAGCTCAAGTTGATCATCAAGTCTGTCCTTACGGAATGGGGCGAACCAAGCAGGATCTAAGAATGTCTCTGGACTTGTTCCAGGGGTTCTGTCATCATTTCAATCATCGTTCTCACCATCAAACAAAAGAGAAAACATCATCATGACCACCACCACCATCAGCATCACGATCATCACTGTCATCACAATCATCACAGCCATCGCCACCGTCATCACCAGCAGAAACAATAACATTAATTTCGCTATCAAAGTCATCATCAGAGATATCAGTCTTCTCAACTTCCAACAGGACAAAAGAGATTCTACACCAACGTCGGGGCGCCAGACAGCACCGCGCAGCCAACGGAGGAAAGCCAGTTGCCCAGATTGTCAGTGCACGGGATCGGAGAACTGGGATCCAGGTCCTGCAGCACCAGCAAGACTTCAAAGTCACTGTCCTCCTGTTGATGATAGAAATCCTGCATTACCCTTAATAAGGAATATACCATAACTCTCATAGTTTAGGGTCCTTCAGGTAGCGCAGGATTTATATCATCAACAGCACTTACTGAGTTCGCAAGTCCCAACAAGGTTAGCCTTTCCAATTCTGGTACACAAGGGTGGTTGTCAAAATTATGGTCCCTTTTTGGGTCCTTATTATAATACGGCACCTATTATTTAGGGTACCCCAAAAGGGACCATAATTTTGACAACTACCCACAAGGATGTGCAAGCCCGAAAGAGGCAAAAGCGAGCTGCGGAACCCTAAACCCTAAACCCACCGGAGTGGACCGGAAAATAGGGGCCTAAAAAATTACCAATACTATTTTGGGGGTTCCTTGTTATAAGCCCTAAACCCTAAACCCTAAACCCTAAACCCTTAACCCTAAACCCTAAACCCTAAACTCCCAAACCCTGAACCCTCAACCCAAAACC